TTAATAACTTATCAAATAATTTATAAGGTACAGATTCAATATTTATAATATGACACTAAATATAATAATATTTAATTGTTAAATGAGTATTTACTTATTGAATAAACTCAGTTACAAATAATCTTAAATTACTAGAATTATAATAAAATTTAAATTAATTACAAGTTCGCAAACGGCTAGTCCAGCATTAAGTCGACAATGTGCCAGTTCAGGTACATCACATTTTCTAGCCTAACGAACACAATAATTGATTCTTTACGCGCATAACATTAAGCAAAACCATGTAAATTACAACTAGTACATTAACAGCATTGTCCGTATAATTCTGTTAAATTCATTATCTTTGAAGATCAACCGCCTGGAGATCAGCTGGTGCCAATTAAGAAAAGGAAACCAGAAAACATTGAGGATGACAACGAGGAGAAAGGAGCTACATCGGCAGGCAGTATCGACATCGGGGATCCGCAGCCACCAAGTGATGACATTGACGATTCCGATTTAGACGATAGTTCATCTTCCAAGGAAACTGATTAAGGAAGAGTGTCGAGCTTTATGGGTTGCTATCTCTGGCTATTGAAATAAGAACTTTTCTGGGTGAAATTAAAAGGAAAAGTAAATGGAATTCTTTTATAGCAGATGAAGTATCATGTTTGTGCTGGAACATATATATATGCCGCTAAATGAAAGCCAAAACCATTGCTAAAGCTTTATGGATTGTGGGTTAGTTGCTTTAGGGTTTCTTCTTTATCAGTTTGGTATGAATAGTGTTCTTTAGGCTTTAGGTTAATCGTACGTTTGTAATAAAAAATGTTTTTTTTAAACTGTTAATCTGTTTAGTTCAGGTTGTTGTTGGATATATGTTTAGACAATTATTGGATACACAATTGTCTTCGTTGTCACCCTCAACTATTGGACATATCCTTTTATTTTATTTTTTATGTTTGTGTCATGCATAAACTCATTTAATTATGTTCACATAGTTTGTTTACTATGATTCGATTTATTAAAAAAATTATGCCCATAATAACTATTTTTTTATTGTTTGAAGTTTGAGGATTTTACTTTTTAGGATAAACTACGTATTTAGTACCTAAACTATTAGTTTTGGTTTGTTTTAATATTTGAACTTTCATTGTTTTTCAAAATCAATTGTCCTCCTAGTTATATGCCGCCGTAGTTATCGCCAATTAACTGTTGGAATTGCGTGGGATCGCAATTTTCATCCTAGGCTTTGCAAGTATAAAACGTAGATTCACATTCGATCGATCACGATTTCATAGGGGTTTTGGTTGTCAGGGGAGATGAGGTAGGGTGGAGCTTCGTCGACAGTAAAGGGGGACGACCAATGTGGGTTTAGAAGTTGAAATGAAGGTTTTTAAAGTTTTGGGGTTATTTAAAAAAATATTATGTTTTCTTTAAAAATATATAATTTTATTTTTAATTTTAAATATATATTTTAAAATTTCCAGATTATGCCACGTGTCATTTAACGGGAAAATTAACACCGTTGACGGGTAGAGACCTAAAGTGGTAACATTTGTAACTTTATACATCGGTATGAGTCAAAAATATTTTAGGCACTATTCGTAAAAATCAATATAGTTTGGGCACTTATTTTATATTTAAGCCAAAATTTAATGGAACTTTTGTACGTGACATTTTTTATGGGTAAATTACATCATTCATTACCTAATTATCTTATCACTCATATTCTGTCATTAAAGTTTAAAATTTTCAATTTAACTACTCAACTTTCATATTGATCATGTTTTAATCACTCTAATATATTTTATTAATAAAATTTTGTAACATGATATTTTTATTATTTTATTAATATATAATTAAAATAAAAAAATAATGAAAGTTAGACTGATTAAATTAGGAGTAATATGAAAGGTAAGTAATTAAATAAAAAAATTAAATTTCAATGACCAAAATAGGAGTAATAAGATAGTTGAGTGATGAATGATGTAATTTACCATAAAAAGTGTCAAGTTGAAACAATCTCCTTAAGTTTTTAACGGCATAGTATTAAAATGAAACAAAAACTAAACATTAAGTATAATTTTAAAAAAAATAAAAGTTTAACTACTAAGACAGACTAAAATTAATAATTTAAATATTAAACGCGTAATTTAATTTTACTTTTAATTGTATATTTAAATAAGTTAGTATATGCATCCGGTTGTGAGTTAATTGGCATTATTTTATTACATGTTTTCAGGAATTGATTCAAATATAAAAGGATAGGAAAAATCATAAAATTGTTTTGTTATTTAGAGAAATCTCTAATTTTATTAAAAATATGAAATATCTCGAATTATAACTAGGATTTACGATTAAAATAATTTTTAATAATTATTGACGCAAAATTAGTCACTTAAGATCAATAGGGACCATATAAGTAAAGAATAAAAATTTAATCAAAAACTCGAACAAAGATATATACAAATAAATCTGATCGCATCACAAACAAATCATAAAATGGGATTAAACTACTAAAATTCCACCAAAAAACCACAAATCAGAGGCGAATGGTGTGAAAATCTATACACAAATGTAAATCGGGTATCAAAATCAAATTTGAAGGTCCAAAGCAGAGAAGATCAACATAATAACATATAAACACCATCTTGATCAGTCGTGATGATGTTAAATCAACCCTTAAAAAAAGATAAATGAAAACAATGACCAATCGATTGAAAAATGTATCATAACGATATGTAAAAATATGTCATACATGCAGACTTAGTAAAACAAAGATAATAAAGATAGAATATAAAAGATAAAAGGATGATAAAAAAAATATCGATGACCAACAATCAACATCAAAATTAATATACTAAAAGATTAAGTGGCAACATAACAAGACATTAGGCTAAATGAAACATAAAATGAAACTAAAAAAAGTTTAAATGTAGGCCTCAAGATTGATGATTATTATGCAAGAACATAATTAACCATAAACTAATGATTCATGACTTCCCCCCCCCCAAAATGTACATTTAGATCCACTTGTTTTACTTTAACATGTAGAATAAGATCTAGTCGCTTTCTTCTTCCTCTTTTTTTCTTTATAATTTGTGTTAATTTTTTTGACCAATTCAACTTTTTCTTTTTTAATTTTGTTTAACCGATGAGGCACCGATTTCGGTATTGGTTGCCACCCGTTGATTATCTTTTTTTTAATAAAAATAACTATGTCTCTGTGACATGTTCTCTGTCTTTATAACACGTTTATCTCTGTCTTTATGACACGTTTTTCTCTGGCTTTCGGTAGCTTATGGTTTTTTTGCAATTGTTTTTGTTTATCTTTTTTTCGTAGGGTTGGATTTGGCATCGTCACGACTGATCAAGATAACACTTATTTGTTATCATGATGATATTCCCTGCTTTGGACACTCGGAATGATTTGGATACGCGTTTTGTATTCGTAGATAGTTTTTCATGTCGCTTGACTCTAATTTGCGATTGGTTGGTGGTCTTTCAGTAGTTCCATCCTCTTTTGTAGTTCGTTGCCGATGCTGTCAGATTTGTTCGTATCTTTAATTTGTTCTAGCATTGGTTAGATATTTTTAACTTTTTTCTTTTATGATCCTTGTGTGATCTAGGTGATTAGTTTTTGTATCAATTATTATAATAAAATGTCCTAATTACAATTTAATTTACGTTTACGATTATGCTCGTAAATCTTAATAATAATTATGAATAATTTCTATTTTTAATAAAACTAGCATCTTTCTATAAAAAAAATACACGTAGAATAAGATTAACTATCATTACCAATTTACCATCGTGCTTGTACTATCACACTAAATTTACGAAGTTCACTGTTTCAGATGTTGCATATGACAAACTACAATTTTTAGCTTAAACATTTGATTTTATATTTTCTTATAGTTTTTTTTAACTTTTTTTTATATTTTATAATGATTTTTAAACTTTTAAAAATTCAAAGCTATTTTTGTAATTTGCATTTAATTAAGTTTTTTTTTCTGTTACAAAGGAATACACGGGACAGAGTAAAAATCATCTTCTCAAATCAACCATATCACCGGTGAGAAGGCGTTGACGGCGGATATGACAGAATTGGAATTCCCGTCCTTCCATTCAGATCTAAGTGAACCAAAGTATCCGCTACTCCATTAATTTCTCCATTAATATGCACGATTTGAACCTACCATTGTAGTTAGAGAAGCTCACACCACTGGTATCTATGGTTTTTGAACCCGGATCCTCAAGAGAAAATAATAATTACTTTACTACGGAGGTCACTTGGTTCGTGCTATGATTTATTGTTTACATTAATAAAAAGTAACTATCAATAGTTGAAATAAGTGATCATTGTCAATAAAATCATCTTTGATACATATTCATAAACAGGTTAATGCAGGAATTCCTATGAAATATTTCAAGGAAATCAAGAAGAATGTGCATTATTTTTGAACTGACAGAGTATACAGGCGTGTCCAATGGAAAGTATTGCTCATAAATAAGCAACATCTGCTCACCTCTCAACTTTCTCTCCGGTTCATTTTCAAGATTCTGCAACTGCTGCATTCTTATTCCGGGTACGCATTTCACTCTTCTATGTATATTTCAATGTTTAAGTGAAAGATTATGAGTAAAACAAGAAGAATTGAAAGGATGATTCTTTTCCCCTAAACTGGTTCTCGCATTCATAAACTATATATGGTTTCTTGACTTGAGTTTTGATGCCTTGAAGCACAAGTTTCCTGCTCTGTCTTTTACTTCTCATTTCATTCATTCATTCATTCATTCATTCATTCATTCATTCATTCATTCATTCATTCATTCATTCATTCATTCATTCATTCTCCATTTCTTTTCTTTTCTTTATCAGTTTAGACATGTTCTTTGTTGTTCTAGCGTGGTTTTGTAGATATTTTTCAACCCTCCTTTGTTCAATTTCCACTTCATTAATTTGTATTTCATTTTAAATGGACCATAGCTTTTTTCAAGAAAAACTACAACTGGAAATGAGTGGCGGAGATGGTGACAGAGATGATGGTAGAGAAGGCTCCACTTCACCTCCGAAAACCACCACCACCACCGCCGCCTTGCATAATTACAATCCTCCACCACACCCTCCGCCTCCACAAAATCCTCCACCTCGAGCACCTCCTACAAATCCTTCTCAATTAACACCTTTACAGTAAGTAATGCAGCATGTTCTATCATCTCATTCAGAAAAATAGTTTCATTTCATATCGTTTTCTTGCAAGACCCCCTGGATTCTTCAAATGCCATGCCAAGTACCACTGCACCACCAATGCCTCGTCTCTAGCTTCAGCTTCACGACGAGCAGTGCAACCGCAAAGTCTGCTGGCGCAGAGTCCAGCACTAAGACCATCACCTTCAACTACAGGTACATACCACATTTTCTTTCTAAAGGACGAGCAGTGCCTTATAATTGATTCTGTATGAATATAATATAAGCTAAGCCTTTTGTTTTTGTTTCATTTCAAGGGAGGAAGGGACCATATAAGGCACTAAGAATGAATGCGACGCCTCCACATGAAATACCAGCTGGTTTGACCCTTTTTCTCTGGGAATTTGCACAGTAGAGTGTGTATTATTTTCCATCTCTGTGTCTTTCTTCAAAAGTTACAGTCATAAACTTTCCTTTTCATCATCTCTTTGAAGATCGGCCGAAGGTTTCCAAAAAAAGAAGAAAATTGGAAAACAGAAAGGATGACAAAGATGAGAAAGGAGGACCATCAGGAGGCGGTATACCTGGATAGTTCGTGTAACTGAAGGAATGATCAAGCATTAGGGGTTTTGGTTATTCTCCTTAAGTTTTCTTGTATAAGCTACATAATTTCTTGCGTTGTAAGCTGTATATTTCCAATAAGCTTTTAGATCATATCAAGCAGCAATAAGCTTGCTTTACTTTCGAAAACTCTGCTGCAATAAATTATTCATGATCAAATTATAAATAAAGAGAAAAAGAATTAACCGAAAATCAATTGTCCGATTTCAATAAACTAAACTGTAAAAGTGATTCGAAAAGGATGTAAACCATTCACAGTTAATCTCATTGATTTCCATAAATTTGATACAAACCTAAAATTTGTTTTGAATATCAGGAAAGTGTCTAAATGGATTCCCAGAAGAATTTTGAGGGGCTACCTCCTAATGGAGAGGTAAGATTTGACATTGAATTGTAATCCAGACTTCATTGGTCTCACTTGTTCTGTATCCAATTGTTTCAATTGAACTAGGAGGGTTAAGGATCAAATTCAAGAATGGTCAAATCGAGACTTTTGAGATATTCCACCGATGCAAAATCGTGTTCAAAACATTACTTCTGAAGTAACTGAAAATGTATAAGCACGCGCAATGCATTTTATATCGAATTGCAGACATTGCTTATATATAAGCAAGAGCAACCTCTAAGAAGCCGTCGTTTATCCATAATCCAGCTCTGCAAAACCCCTGATACCTCTCCTCGCCGATTCATTTTCAAGAATCTGTCTTGGTTAGTATGTCGTTTGCTCTTTATTTTATAAATCTGTATGTCTTCTTCATGTGTTTCAAAGATCATAAGTAAAACAAGAACTGAATGAGCGATCAGGCCATAAGGTTTCTAGTTAATTCTTCATAATTTTTAATGTGATTTTTTTATCGGATCGACTTCCAACGTCTTCTTGGTATTTCTTGAGTTACACCCTGAAGCATAACAGCTGTTTCTTTTCATTCAATTCCTTTTTTTTTCATTTCTTTTTGTTCTTTACCAGTTTAGGCATGGTATTTCTTCTTGTATTTCACTTACCTACTGTAGATTCATTTGAATGCAATAAGATCACTGCTTTTCGATTTTAGAATTAAGCTTTTAAATAACCTGCAACCCTACTTTCGGTTTTCCAGTTTACTAAACCGAAAAGGATAACAGTTTTGTTCCAAGAAACACTAGGAAGAAATGGGTGGCGGAAATGAACCACCAAGAGAAGGGTTGAGTAGGTGGGCGGCTGCGAACCAAGAAGAAGAACCACGACCTAGTCCTCCGCCTCTTTCACTTCCCTCATATCCACCTCCTCGGCCTCCATCTGTTACTACCAGGTTTAGGCTTGTATTATGCTATTCAATTATTTTTGTTGGAAAGAATAAAGTTTCATTCCATCTCTTGCCCTTGTAACAGACCCCCCGGAGTTTCAATTGGCGCACCAAGTTCACCGCCTCCTCTTCTGCCATTGTTTCCACCAAGAGAAGTACAGCCGCTATGGCCACCAAGTCCAACATTAGGCCCAGGACCTTCCATTCCTGGAGGTACAACATTTGATTCTTTGTACATATAATATCAGCCGAAGGCTCTTTTGTTTTCTGGGGTTAAGGGTTAATAGTGCCAATTATGATGCTAATGCTATAATTTTCTTTTCCAGATGTATCACTGGAACCTTCTGCCTCTGAAACGACTTCACAAGCTGAGCCTGGTTTGACCCTATTTCTCTTGTTTCATTAGTTTTCATACAGGGTTTTCTCACAATATATTTGTTTGTCACCAGAAAGCCTCTTTCTGAAGGTCCACCAAATGGTAAGCAAGCAACGATGGAAACGATGAGAATGGACTCATGGAACTCTCCATCAGCATGCGCTTCAGACGATTGTTTTCTTCCTTTATTGTTTGATGATGCATTTGTCTGGTTCTCTGGCTTCAACATTGGTTTTCTTCTTCTTCCATAGAGCACGTTTATGGATTGTTACCATACTCCTTGCGCATAACAGATGATGAGAATAGCTTTATTCATGATAAATAAAGATTTGGTGTAATTGTTTCTTAACAAAAAGCTATTGAGAATAGGTATCCTCATAAAACAAATTAACAATATTTAATGAACATTTATATATTTCATTTTGTGTCTTATGTTGCGGAAAACGGCTATCGGATAGAGCAAAATCGCAACTGATAATTTGAGAAAATAAAAAAATAGAGATAAAGATGACACAAATTTTACGTGGAAAATTCCTAAATAATATAGGGTAAAAACCACGGGCAACGGTAGAAGAATTTCACTATGAGAAAATAGGAATTACAACTTCTCTCAATCAACAAAGGAGAAAACAATGACAATTCTCTCTTGATAAAAAGGAGAAAACAACTCTCAATAAAACTCTCTAAATTCTCTAGTATTGGGAGAAATCTAGAATGATTTGGGATGCTTTTGAAGCTAAATGAGTTAGGGTATTTATAGTTGAAGCTTAAGGTATAATTTTGTAAATACCCTAAAGTATAAGGACTAAATTGCAATTATCCGTTTACAAAAAAAAACAACAATTGCTACCACTTTTTGACAAATTCCACCGCCTTTGAAAATTCCACCATTTGGTGCCTACCTTGTTTTGTGGAATTTTCAACAATCTCCCACTTGAAGATTTGATTTGAATAATCATATCTTCACACCATTCTTTTTACCTTGTACCTTCATGTTGCTTACGTTTCTGATAGGCCACAAGAGGATCGACACCAAGTAAATTTATCAGCATTAATCGTCTTCGTCATGAAATCTGCTATGTTGTCTTTGGTATGGATTTTCTGCATATCTACCGTCCCTTCTTCCACATTTTCACGAATGAAATGGTACTGAACTCGTATGTGCTTTGTCCTTAAATGAAATATTGGATTCCTTGCTAGATGCAAGGCGCTTTGACTGTCACAAAACAGAGAGACATACTCTTGATTGTGCCCAAGCTCCTCCAATAACATCTTCAACCAAATTGCTTCTTTACTGGCTTGTGTAGCTGCTACATATTCTGCCTCTGTTGTGGACGTAGCCACAATTGACTTCAATTTTTAAACCCAGCTTACAGCTCCACCAACAATTTTGAACACATATCATGTTATAGATTTGCTTTTATCCAAATCCCCTGCATAGTCAGAATTTACATACCCATTGACTAATAAGTTTGATCTTCTGTAACATAATGCAACATTTGAGGTCCCTTTGATGTATCTCAGGATCCTCTTTACTGTATTCCAATGTTCTTTTCCTGGATTCGCCATGTACAGACTAACCACTCCCACTGCTTGTGCAATGTCTGGTCTTGTGCATATCATAGTGAATATTAAAATTCCCACTGCTGATGCATATGATACTCGAGACATCTACATTATCTCTTCTTCACTACTAGGACTCATACTAGAGGATAATTTGAAGTTAATAGGAAGAGGGGTAGAAATTGGCTTACAATCTTGCATGTTGAATCGTGACAAGATCTTATTCAAGTAATTCTTTTGTGAAAGCCAAATCTTCATATTACTTCTGTCTCGGTGAATTTGTATCCCTAAAATCTTGTTTGCTGATTCCAAGCCCTTCATTTCAAATTCCCTAGCCAGTTGTGCCTTCAATTCTTCAATATGATCTTTGTTGGGTCTTGCAACCAATATATCATCCACATACAACAGCAATATAACAAAATCGTTATCACCAAACCTCTTGAAATAAGCACAAGGGTATGAATTAAGTCTGTTGAATCCAAGGCACATAATGAAGGAATCAAATCTCTTAGACCATACAGAGATTTGTTCAACCTGCAAACCAAGTTTTTATTTTCTTTTTCTTCAAAACCTTCAGGCTGGAGCATGTAAATGTCTTCTTCAAGATTTTCATGAAGAAAAGTTGTTTTAGCATCTAGCTACTCTAAATGTAAATTCAATGTAGCACACATTGCCAAGACTACTCGAACTGTTGTTAGTCTAACCACATGAGAAAAGATTTCATTGAAATCAATACCTTCTTTTTGAGCATATCCTTTGACCACCAGTCTTGTACGATACCTCTCAACTTGGACGTCACCATTTCACTTTATTTTGAAGACCCATTTGTTACCAATTGGCTTCATTCCTTGTGGTAGTAGTACAATGTCCCATGTATTATTTTTATGAAGGGCTTCATTTTCTTCTTGCATCGTCATCATCCACAGTGAAGCATCTGAGCTGTTTATTGCCTCCTGGTATGTTGATGGCTCACCATCCTCTGTTAAAAGACAATGTGTAATATTTCCTTCTATAACACAATCTGAGTGTCAATTGGGACTTCTTCTCACATGATCTGATTAACGAGTTGTTGGAGCTTCAGAACTCTCTGGTTCTTGTTCGTCATGTGCTGGTTCTGTTTCAGAATAATCTCCTTGTTTAACCTCCTTTTCCACATGTATCTGTGTAGTCTCTGACTTTTCAATGCTATCATCGTCTTCTTTTCTTTGAGTTTATCTTCTACAAAGATAACATCCCTGCTGATGACCACTTTGCGGGCAGTGGGATCCCACAAGCGATACCCCTTTACACATCAACATACCCCAAGAATTTACATTTCCTGGATTTTGGATCCAACTTTGAGATTTCTTGGGAGTTGTACATCACGTACACAATACTTCCATGAAGGTTTGAATAATCAGCTAGTTTACCAGTCCACATCTCCATTGGTGTCTTCAGCTCTATTTCAGTTAACGGAGCTCGATTCACCAAATAACATGCGATATTGACTGATTCTGCCCAAAATGCTTTTTCTAGGTCTGCAGCCCTCAACATTTCTCTTGTTCTTTCTAACAAGGTTCTGTTCATCCGCTCTGCCACTCCATTTTGTTGAGGAGTTTTTGCCACTGTGAGATGTCTTTTGATGCATTCTTTCCTGCAAAAGTAATCAAATTCTTCACTTATGTATTCTCCTCCATTATCTGTTCTGAAACACTTGATCTTATTTCCAGAATCAAGTTCCACCAACGCTTTGAAGTTTTTGAAATTGGAAAACACATCTGACTTCTTCTTAATAGGGTACACCCAACATCTCCTAGAGTAGTTATCTATAAATGAGACAAAGTATTTTGCTCCACCTAGGGATGTAATTGGTGCTTGCCATACGTCAGAATGAACCAATTCTAGAACACTTTTGCCTCTATAATTTGACACAAAGAATTTCAACCGGTGCTGCTTACTTATTATGCAATGCTCACACAAAGTAAATGATACCTTTGTTAAGCCTGGAAGTAGCTTTTGCTCCACAAGAACTTTCATTCCTTGTTCTGACATGTGTCCAAGTTTCTGATGTCATAGCATTGCAGAATCTGAACTACATGAGGCAACAGAGGCTTCTACTTCTAGAAAAGTCTCTCCCTTCAGCATGTACAAGTTTGTTGTTATCTTTTCGCCTTTCATCACCACAAGCGCTCCACTAAACACCTTCATGATTCCTTTTCGTGTTTCAATCTTGCTTGCATTATTATCCAACAATCCGTAAGATAATAAATTTTTCTTCAGGCCTTTCACGTGCCGCACATCTCGAACAACTTTAATTGTTCCATCATACATCTTCAATTTGATGATTCCCACACCAACGATATCTAAGTCATGATCATTTCAACTATACACAGATCCTCCTGAGACAGGTTTATAATGATGGAACCATTCTTTTCTTGAGGTCATGTGGTATGTTTCTCCTGAATCAATGAGCCATATATCTGTAAATCTCTTTCTGCTTTCCACAGTGGTTGACGCTTCACAACATAGAGCATCTCTAACATCTGAAGTGTTTGCGGTATTATCTTTTGGATTGAAGTTTTTACTTAGACTCCAATAATCCTTCTGCAAGTGACCATTCTTTCCACAATTGTAGCACTTTAAATTCTTTTTACTTCTCGACTTTGATCTACCATGTTTGTGACTGCTACTTTGGCCACGTTCTGTTGATCTCCCTCTCATCGTTGTCAATGCTTCTGCTTGTTGCAGATTTACTTGTCTATCTTCCTTGTTCTTGCACCGATTTTCTTCTTGTAGAACAGAAGCTGCAACGTCATCGAAGACTAGACCGGTGACATTACTGTTTGTCAAGTTGATGATGAGTTGATCATACGAATCAAGTAGACTTTGAATTAGAAGTTCAGTACGTTCTTGTTCTCATATTGTACAGTTTAAGGATGCAAGTTGAGAAAATAAAGTGTTCAACGGGTTTAAGTGCTCCGTCACTGAAGTAGATTCTTGCATCTGGAGAGTGTACAATTTCCTCTTAAGGAAAATTTTATTATGTAACGATGTGGCCTCGTACAATTTGGTGAGATGATCTCATATCTCCTTAGCTGTCTTCTTCTCCTCGATGCTTGACAATACTTCATCTGGTAATGATAGATGAAAGTTTGTCATAGCATTCCCGTCCATTTCGAGCCATTTGTTGTCATCTGTGAAATCTACCGGCCTTTCACTGATAGCTTCTAGACAACCGTCTTTCCTTATGATGGCCTTCATCTACAATTTTCACAATGAGAAATTTCTTCCATTGAATTTTCAATATCAAATTTTGTTGCCATAGCTTCTATTACGGATAGCTCCCACTATTTCACTATCGTGAATAGTTCTCTGGAACCTTCAAAGAATGGGTAATACATTCTTACTTTCTTATGTTGGAGGATCCACCTTTTGGTGGCAACCACAAAGACAATAAGTATATATTACACACTCAAATCTGGCTCTTGATACCAATTGTTGCGGAAGACGGCGATCAGATAGAGTAAAATCGCAACTGATAATTTGAGAAAATAAAAAAATAGAGATAAAGATGACACAAATTTTACGTGAAAAACTCCTAAATAATATAGGGTAAAAACCACGGGCAACGGTAGAAGAATTTCACTATGAGAAAATAGGAATTACAACTTCTCTCAATCTACCAAGGAGAAAACAATGACAATTATCT